AAATCATCAGTACCCTCGAGCAAGCATTTATTTTGGCTTTTCTGCAGATAGGATTATTTTTAAGTTACCATACACATTAAAGAGATGAATAATGATGTCTACAGAAAATAAAATAAAAAATGGGAACATTAATAACTGGAAAGCACAGACAATTTATCCTAACAATGAATTCAGAGAAATAAATTATTCCTCATCAAAGTTGTAGTAATGAATTTTTTTCCGGAAAATTATTTTTTTGCAGTAATTCATAAGGAACTCTCGTCATAGTTGCACAAAGCTAATATGTGATTTTTCTTAAAGAAAAGATTTAATAGTATTTCAGGTCTAAATTTAGAATTGTATATCTATCTATGATTCTCAGATTCTATTGATTTTTTTAATTAAAAAAAACCTGAAGCATAGCATTTTTAGAGTCACGTTTTGGCTCCTTTCCTCCCCCAGATATGTACATGACTGCAAGTTTTTGTAGTTTATGTGTATGTATACGTGCATGTACATAACACTGAATTTGGCTGGTAAGTAAAGATTCCTGTAACATTAAGAACATTACTGAAATGCTTTGGGCTTCAGTTTCCTCATCTGAAAATGAAGAAACTGGTCTAGTTGTGACATTCCATGATCCTTGAAACTGAACTAAATGAAAAACAGTCTCACCAAGTATAATAGATAAGGGGCATCTGTGCATTTATTTTACAGTGGTGCATACATCTTTAAAAGTCAGTTAGACATAAAAAATTTTTTCTATTTTTCCTAATACATGTTTACCCCTAAATGTAATGAAGGCCACACAGGTGTAATATTTATGTGGATTTTCCAGGTTCATGTTCAATAGGAAATGCCAATACCCTAGTGTATGTCTGCTGCTCACCTTAGTCCTTTCTCCAGTGGAAGAAAGCTATCTTTATTACTACAGCTCTTCCCTTTTTATTCTTTATCTCTTTCACTGATGCACCTTCATTCAATCCATACACTGTTACTTTACCTCAAGATGTTTTATATTAACTTTGTAGCTTTCTACATTAAAATGTGATTTCTTCTGATTTCTTTTGCACAAGATATTGCATTAATGTTTCAGGAACTTTTGACATTTAAGGTTATGTTTGGACAGAGAGACTCAGGTAATGACAACCTAAATGAGAAATAGCTCACACACCTCAAAATTAGTTTAGTTCTGAGAGACATCATGTCAAGGAAAGGGCATGGACTTTGCATCTAAGCCTAGGTTGGAATCCTAGTTATGCAGTGAATAGTTATGTGGTCTTACTCAAGACACTTAACCTCCCTCATGTCTGTAAAGAGGGATAATTATCCTTTCCTTGATGGTCTTTGTGAGGGTTATAGTCAACATACATAATATATGTAATTGGCACCAGAAGGCACACATATCCTCAAACGATGTCTCTAGAACTTCAGAACCTGGAATTTTCCCCAGTGACCCTTCTAAGTGTATATGCTTCAAAAAAAATCATCAGTACTGTTAA